TAAGGCATCCAAAATGGTTGAGGGGGAGCAAAAATGATGGATTATCTTGATTTCCCCATGAAGTTTCCATGGATTGGGGGATGTTCACCATTTTCAGACAGACCCAAAATACAGGCCAGTTGTATCACAGGAATTTTACAGGAAATTATGGGGTGTTCCTGTGGATTTTCCCATGGATCTCGTGACATAAAACGATCTGCAAATTTCAAATGGCGGGCTTTCCATATCTATGGCAAATTAATTGTTGTTACCTTACAGGAGGATATAAAAACAAAGCAGATCTGGCCCTCGGAAAAGTGTGACTGGATGTGTGCAATCATTGGTGAACATGCGGTGAAGTGGTGAAGTGGATGTTGAAGTGGTGGAATGTTGGTCACCGATACCCTCCTCAATTTTCGGGTGTCCATGTATTCGAGTGCATCAACATTGAACTTCAACGCATGAAATCTGCACTGGTAATCTAACTTGGCAACAAAAAACTCCTACTGCTACTCATGTGTACAGTGGGAGACCAGCAGTTAGAATTTGGAATCAATGGATTTCCTTTTAACCTAAAAAATCCAGGATTATTTTTTTTTTACGACAGTTAGAATTTCCCGAAAAAAAACAACCACAGATAGAATATGAACATATTCACAAAGAAAACAAACAAATTTTACCGTACCAACCGACCTTATTGAAAACTTTGGCCAACACAATCTACTGCATGTGTCTCTTTCAGCATGTTGGAAAACGGGACAGAACCCATGCAAGAACAAACATGGTGAAGATTGCATTGCGCAAGTTGGTTGCTGGTATTTTGTGCGGTTGTGTGGTGCTGCTGGTTCTGGTGGTGAAGTGAGTGATGAAAAAAACCATCCAAACACATCCATATTCTAACTGCACTTTTCACCACCAGAATTCACAAAGAAAACAAACAAGTTTTACCGTACCAACCAACCTTATTGAAAACTTTGACCAACATAATCTACTGCATGTGTCTCTTTCAGCATGTTGGAAAACAGGACAGAACCCATGTAAGAACACACATGGTGAAAACTGCATTGCGCAAGTTGGTTGCTGGTATTTTGTGCGGTTGTGTGGTGCTGCTGGTGTTGGTTGCGAAGTAAGTGAGGGAAAAAACCATCCAAACCTATCCATATTCTAACTGCACTTTTCACCACCAGAGTTCAAAAAGAAAACAAACAAGTTTTACCGTACCAACCGACCTCGGGAAAACTTTGGCCAACATAATCTGCTGTAGGTGTATCTTTCAGCATGTTGGAAAACAGGACAGAACCCATACAAGAACACACATGGTGAAGATTGCATTGCGCAAGTTGTTTGCTGGTATTTTGTGCGGTTGTGTGGTGCTGCTGGTGTTGGTTGCGAAGTGAGTGATGAAAAAAAATCCAAACCTATCCATATTCTAACTGCACTTTTCACCACCGGAATTCACAAAGAGTACAAACAAGTTTTACCGTATCGACCGACCTCGTGAAAGCCTTGACCAACATCGTCTACTGTACGCGTTTCTGTCACCACGTTCGAAAACAGGACAGGATCCATGCAAGAACAAATATGGTCAAAACTGCATTGCGCAAGTTGTTTGCTGGCACTTTGTGCGGTTGTGTGGTGCTGCTTGTTTGTTGCGAAGTGAGTGAGGGAAAAAAAAACATCCAAACCTATCCATATTCTAACTGCACTTTTCACCACAAGAGTTCACAAAGAAAACAAACAAGTTTTAAAGTACCAGCCAACCTCGGGAAAACTTTGGCCAACATAATCTGCTGTATGTGTCTCTTTCAGCATGTTGGAAAACAGGACAGAACCCATGCAAGAACAAACATGGTGAAAATTGCATTGCGCAAGTTGTTTGCTAGTATTTTGTGCGGTTGTGTGGTGCTGCTTGTTGGTTGCGAAGTGAGTGATGGAAAAAAAAAACATCCAAACCTATCCATATTATAACTGCACTTTTCACCACCAGAATTCACAAAGAAAACAAACAAATTTTACCGTACCAACCGACCTTATTGAAAACTTTGGCCAACACAATCTACTGCATGTGTCTCTTTCAGCATGTTGGAAAACGGGACAGAACCCACGCAAGAACAAACATGGTGAAAATTGCATTGCGCAAGTTGTTTGCTGGCATTTTGTGCGGTTGTGTGGTGCTGCTGGTGTTGGTGGTGAAGTGAGTGATGAAAAAAAACAATCCAAACACATCCATATTCGAACTGCATTTTCCACCACCAGAATTTACAAAGAAAACAAGCAAGTTTTACCGTACCAACCAACCTTATTGAAAACTTTGACCAACATAATCTACTGCATGTGTCTCTTTCAGCATGTTGGAAAACAGGACAGAACCCATACAAGAACACACATGGTGAAGATTGCATTGCGCAAGTTGTTTGCTGGTATTTTGTGCGGTTGTGTGGTGCTGCTGGTGTTGGTTGCGAAGTGAGTGAGGGAAAAAAACCATCCAAACCTATCCATATTCTAACTGCACTTTTCACCACCAGAGTTCACAAAGAAAACAAACAAGTTTTACCGTACCAATTGACCTCGGGAAAACTTTGGCCAACATAATCTGCTGCATGTGTCTCTTTCAGCATTTTGGAAAACAGGACAGAACCCATACAAGAACAAACATGGTGAAAATTGCATTGCGCAAGTTGGTTGCTGGTATTTTGTGCGTTTGTGTGGTGCTGCTGGTGTTGGTGGTGAAGTGAGTTTCAAAAAACAATCCAAACACATCCATATTCGAACTGCATTTCCACCACCAGAATTCACAAAGAAAACAGACAAGTTTTAAAGTACCAGCCAACCTTATTGAAAACTTTGACCAACATAATCTGCTGTATGTGTCTCTTTCAGCATGTTGGAAAACAGGACAGAACCCATGCAAGAACACACATGGTGAAGATTGCATTGCGCAAGTTGTTTGCTGGTATTTTGTGCGGTTGTGTGGTGCTGCTGGTGTTGGTTGCGAAGTGAGTGATGAAAAAAAAAAATCCAAACCTATCCATATTCTAACTGCACTTTTCACCACCGGAATTCACAAAGAGTACAAACAAGTTTTACCGTATCGACCGACCTCGTGAAAGCCTTGACCAACATCGTCTACTGTACGCGTTTCTGTCACCACGTTCGAAAACAGGACAGGATCCATGCAAGAACAAATATGGTCAAAACTGCATTGCGCAAGTTGTTTGCTGGCATTTTGTGCGGTTGTGTGGTGCTGCTTGTTTGTTGCGAAGTGAGTGAGGGAAAAAAACCATCCAAACCTATCCATATTCTAACTGCACTTTTCACCACAAGAGTTCACAAAGAAAACAAACAAGTTTTAAAGTACCAGCTAACCTCGGGAAAACTTTGGCCAACATAATCTGCTGTATGTGTCTCTTTCAGCATGTTGGAAAACAGGACAGAACCCATGCAAGAACAAGCATGGTGAAGATTGCATTGCGCAAGTTGTTTGCTAGTATTTTGTGCGGTTGTGTGGTGCTGCTGGTTGGTTGCGAAGTGAGTGATGGAAAAAAAACATCCAAACCTATCCATATTATAACTGCACTTTTCACCACCAGAATTCACAAAGAAAACAAACAAATTTTACCGTACCAACCGACCTTATTGAAAACTTTGGCCAACATAATCTGCTGCATGTGTCTCTTTCAGCATGTTGGAAAACGGGACAGAACCCATACAAGAACAAGCATGGTGAAAATTGCATGGCGCAAGTTGTTTGCTGGCATTTTGTGCGGTTGTGTGGTGCTGCTGGTGTTGGTGGTGAAGTGAGTGATGGAAAAAAACAATCCAAACACATCCATATTCGAACTGCATTTTCCACCACCAGAATTTACAAAGAAAACAAACAAGTTTTACCGTACCAACCAACCTTATTGAAAACTTTGACCAACATAATCTACTGTATGTGTCTCTTTCAGCATGTTGGAAAACAGGACAGAACCCATGTAAGAACACACATGGTGAAGATTGCATTGCGCAAGTTGTTTGCTGGCATTTTGTGCGGTTGTGTGGTGCTGCTGGTGTTGGTTGCGAAGTGAGTGAGGGAAAAAAACCATCCAAACCTATCCATATTCTAACTGCACTTTTCACCACCAGAGTTCACAAAGAAAACAAACAAGTTTTACCGTACCAACCGACCTCGGGAAAACTTTGGCCAACATAATCTGCTGCATGTGTCTCTTTCAGCATTTTGGAAAACAGGACAGAACCCATACAAGAACAAGCATGGTGAAAATTGCATTGCGCAAGTT